GTACCAGTGTCACCAAAGTCATACATTAGCAAGGAAAGACATATGTACCGACCGACATAATGATTAACTCATAGAACATGATCAGTATGCCTTTTGCGGTGTTGTTCTTTTCCGGATATCCTCTGTAAAGATTTCATAACACGAGAGAGATGGTGTATGAAATGGAATAAACTTATACTTACTTTATGAAGAAATGGGTTCATCGCGGATTCTCATAAACATCCACCATATAGTAAGAAATAATAAGCTGTAATTATAAGTATCTTAATCTCTTATCACCGCGTCGACATATTAGGCAACTTAAACAATATTTTAATTGTGTTGTTAGCGCACGTCAAATGTGATTGTACGAGGGTGCGTTTTTAAATTCGCGGAATAGTTAGGTAGCTAATAAGTGGGGACGTCGCTGAATTACGTGCTAATTGAACAACTCTTTATTAGTATAAATACCGGGTTTTATTGTAATTAGATCATTAGTCTTTGAGTTGTCGTCAACCAAACAAGCCAATCGTGAAGAAATCGTGAAATATGGAGAAAATCTAGTTCTGTGCCGTTATAAAGTTCCTTACCAAACGCGGAAAATCAGTTCAGACTATACTGGAAGAGATGTCATCCGTTTACGGAGACTGTTGTGAAATTATTCAAAAAGTCGAAAATTAATATTAGAAGATAAGCCAAAAGAAAAAACAGCTCGCAGAAATGGTTGGAGTGTACGATACAACCATTTTCAAAATTCTTCATGACCATCTTGGCGTGACTAAAGTCAGCGCAAGATGGGTGCCTAGAATGCTCACGCCACCTTAATTCTCGTTCATCAATATTCGTTCGTTTTAAGTGATGAAGAAGTGAAGGAAGCAGTTTCGGCGTATTTTTTAGACAAAGACAAATCATTTTTTTTTGAGCGTAGATAAGTTAATTGAAAGATCCGAAAAATGTATTACGGTGGCAGGTGAATATATTGAAAAGAAAAAATCAATTTGGATTTTTATTTCCACTCCATACTTCCGCAAACTTCAAAATGTCTCCTCGTAGCATGGATATGGATTGCAAGATTTTACGTTACGGTTGGCCGGTCGCAAGATTAACATAATAATTCATTACTCACATACGTGGGAGAGCCACGCTGCGGCAATATTAGTTGTAGCACGAATGGGTCGGCTCGACCGCGGTAGGACCACGCTCAGTGAGGCACTAGTTCCATGGACTTCCTACATTAGGTTTTAGGGAGATTGCTTTGCGCTTGGGGGTGTTAAGCTTCTATAAAAAACAAACCCTACCCGTTGAATAAAACTATTATTTACGGATTTTATCGCGTTTAATTACTTATTTATTTTTATTATCACGACGTTTTGGGTGCTTTACAGCACCCATGGTCACGGGGGGGGGACTGAGATGTTTGACGTCCCAATGTCATAGTTATGGAGTGTAGAAGTAAGGAGTACCAACTCCCTTGGTAGAACAGTTGAAAAAGTGGCCATTTGTAAGCAGTAAATAACAGCTCAAAAACTCTCCACAACAGCGTTGGAATAGCTACTGGGATGAAATGAACTTAGCAGTTGTCGACGGTTTAAGTGTGCTGCTAAACTGCTCAGTAGCTCTAAAATCTAAAATAATTTCGTCGTCTATCCCACTTATATTTTTTCGGTGCGTTCTTTAACATTTACCCCGTAGCTATAGTGGCGCCACCCTTATTTAACTGTTTTCTTTGGACACTTTCTAATACACAGTCTGTACTCCTTACTTCTACACTCCATACAAACCATGAAGATTAGAGAACAGGAGAACTATCACTACGTACTAAAGCATAGCCCGCCTGTCCACCCTTATTTAACTGTTTTCTTTGGACACTTTCTAATACACAGTCTGTACTCCTTACTTCTACACTCCATAGTCATAGTCCAGCTACCTTCAGTTTTTAAATATTAATTTTTGGTCCGATTTACGCAAAACGAGCTTATAGTATCATGAAGTCTCGCAGTTGTATGCTTGGGTTTGGGTTTAATTTTGTTAATTATAGGATCCCAAGCAGATAGCAGCACCTATCCATCTTCTCTATTGAAATTTGGATGTTTTTTTTAATTTCAAAAGCTTCGCGTATATTCCTTGGTAGGAATCGGTATTCTTTTGCGAGATTTTTTGGTATATTTGGGTAATTATTTCATTTGGTGTAAATCGGATGTCCGGGTGAATTTCCCCCTTAAAACTAAGTTGGATTTATACCGTGCAATACTCTTATATATAGTACTGAATGTACAGTACAAGGAGTACTCATACATTTTGGGTATTTTATAATTAATCTTGTATTTTTTTGTCATTAAAGAGTCAAAACGTCACTACCATGTGTGTCCCATATAACATTTTCGTCATTATTTTAGCAAAAATGTCATACTAAACGTATGTTTATAAGCCAAAGTCACTATTTAATATAAAGCTTAATAATCATTACTAATATCTTAGATTTAACAAATGAAATCAAATTGAAAGTGACAGAATAATAACATCGTAAATATTGTCCCCAGCGAAAACAGTCATTCCCGTGTCGGTTCATGTCACGACGTACTCATCACTCAACAGCTGTATAAAATTTCTGCAACTGCCCCGCGCACCTCCCAGCAGGCCCGGTCAACTCTGTATGGACAGAATGAAATACCTACGGGGGCTGAATTTTATTATTGCCATTTGTCAGATAAATGTCTTGTTTCATAATTAGTAAGATTTTGCTAAAGATAAATTACACTCAAAAATTTTGAATATAGAAATAATAATCCATAGGAAGATAACTATACCTGTCGTATTTTTCTACGTTATTATATTAGCATATCCTTGACAGTAAAAGAAAAATAAATGTTTTCTTTTTGTTTTGATTTTCAATGAGTAGAAAATTCTTTTTTGTTTTGATTTTCAATGAGTAGAAAATTATATTTTGTACTGGTAGCACCAAAATATCTAAATGAGTATATAATTCTCATTTCTCATAATATGGCGCCGCCGTATAAATGATTGTTGTTCATGATTGTTTGTTATGTTTGTTTTACTTGTGTCTTTTTCTAAGATTTTGCAAGTTTACGATGTTGAGTTGAGATTAATGTCCTTCGTTAATATGATGTACAATGTTTTAGTCAATGATTCGTAGTGAAATACGAAATAGTGACTCTAAAAACTACGCTGCAATGGCGGATAATGAAAATAGAAAAAGTGTTCTAAGTGCAACAGCTCACCAACCATTGTCAACATTTTCAGCTGTAAATTGTGGGCGAAATATTATATTCCTTCCCAAGTGCACTATACTACTTTAGCTTTCCAGATAAAGCTACATAATAAGCCCAGAATGCTGTGTGAAAAACATTTTCATTATGGTTAATTTAATGATGCAACCAAGAAAAAGCTCTTGAGAACTGCAGTCCCATGTGATGTAAGTAAAGTGTATAATGTATATGATAATATGGTATGTATATAGTTTTCTTTAAGGATTACTCAGATATTTTATATGGGGATTTTTTTCACGAGTGGACTTTGATAGACTGTAATGAAGATGATGATGAATATTCATATGACCATCATCTGGATCTAACATGGATGGACAGACCACATACAGTAGTTTGAATCATGTTAATGCTTTCAACTAATTTATAATAATTGGATCGGACAAAGCATCCAAAGGATTGAAGTCTATAAAGTTAGCACAAGCCCTTCCTTACATTATTAAAAGTGCAACACACTGCATATTATTTTTAACAATGAAATTTTATTTTAAAACAACAACAAACCTTAAGAAAGTTCAGGCGTCACAATCTAAATTACATTTCGTCCTAAACCTATCAAATTTAAAGGCACAACTTGTACAACACAGTAGAAATATATGCATCAAAGGGTTCTTAAACAATAGATAAACACAAGACTTCTTTTTACATAGTTATTGTATTTACTATCTTATTTTGTTATATTAATTGTAATAGTGGGTGTATTATAGAGCAAGTTGGATGAACAAGATCCATTCATTTATTTTGTATTGGTAGAAGGGTAATGTAGTGCCATGAGCAGGGACTGGTTTACTATGAAAGTAATGTCAATGAATATAATGTTAATTTAATTTTATATAATAATTTTATGATACTATAATTTATTTCAGTTTTTATTTATTTCCAGACCAAAAAGTGTATTCCCATTTTATATTGTGGAATCACAAGCTGGTCCCTCGCAAATTATTGCTGCAAAACCACAAACAGGATCTTCAAAAGGGACAACATTATAATGTTGAACCTGAAAAAGAAAGTACTCTATATGAAAATTTTTAAAATGAAATAACGAATATTTTTGTAATCTAATATTTAATATGTTTTATAATTTTGAATTAAAATTATTCTATTTATAAGCTGCATTCAATACTTAATATATTGCATATAATATAGAGACAAAAATTTTAGTTTCAATTCAGGGAAATAGATAGACAACCAAATATTATCAAAACAAAATTATTATTTGTGAATGTTGCACTTTGCACTTGTGTGTAGTATTGTTAATTAACTTGTTTTTGATTAAAATATTGATATTTTGGTTATTGTAGACATTATGTGATTTGTGATTGTGCATATTATCAATTCATCCATGATTGTAAATCTTATATATATTGTTTATTATTGTTTACTTAAGTAATTGAAATGTTGTAATCAATATTGATTTTCTTTTCATGTTTAAACCCATCAAAGAAAACCCAGAAAGAACTAAGCTGCTGGAGAAATTTTATCTTAATTTATGTATGTTTTTTTATTTTAATTTGTATTTTTATTTTGAATAAATAAATAGAAATTTTGTAATTTTTTTTTCTTTTATTTAGCGCTGGGATAGGCAACCCAAAAATACCTCAAATAAAAAAAAACAAAAAAGACCACGTTCAAATTTTCGCGCCACACTAGAAGTGCAGGGGCTGACGATAGATGGAGCTAGTGGTTATATATAGCATTTCCTAAATTTTGTATGAAGTTGTCGTTCTTCTCCGATAGGAGTAATAGTGTTCTGTGCCTCCCAGTCACCACGCAGCCGTCATAGAAAACGCACGTCGCACATCCTGATTGATTTAAAAAAAAGTGAAGAAAAAGAGTGTTACCGTGGTTTTTGTCAGAAAAAATTGTCTTTATTGTGGGTCTACTTCCTCAGTAAGTGCACAGAATATTAGAATAGGTTTTATTTTTCCTAACTATTTAACCATTTTGTTATGACGTAAACAACAGAACATATTCCGGAACATTAAGCTTGCAATGTTATGCGAATAATATTTGATTTTGTCATTACCGTGTATGTCATTTAGATGTATTATCGTGGTTGTTTTTTTAGCCACGGAATGCATAATGACAACGATAACATGATAATGACCTACATATAATATGTACATAAGTAAATATTAACAGTTTTTTAGACTAGCACCGATTGCAATTGGTATATAAATAAGCATTGTGCATTATATATGCCAATTTTGCTTGTTCTAGACAAAAATATAGACATGCCACGACGTAAAAAGCCAGTAAATAGAGAAGAAATGTTAATCTGAAGATTTCCTGGAACGAAATTTTGAATTACAACAAACATTTTCGGAAGAGATTAAAAAAATCCGTAAAAAACGTAATTCCCGAATATGTATCCAAATATGAAATAATCGAAAAAGAATACCTAATGCCTAAAATATTGTTGAAACCGTTCAAAGGCATGATGAATGTGCATAAGATTGTGTGGGACAAAAATAATAAAGACTTGCTCTTCGACGCCAAAGCTGCGTAACTGATTTGTGTTAAAATTGTGCTCTAGCTTGTTCCCACGACAAACACCTCGGGTTTTACAGCCACCCCAAAGAAGAGTCGAATCAGCCAAACTCTTCTAAAGAACTTGTGATTATTTCCAATGTTGTACTCGTGCCAAGTCGTGAAGAAAGATCTCGCAATAATTTGCAAAACCAGTTTGAAGAGCATTTGCTCTAAAATCAAAAAAGTGATGAGGAAGATGAAAGAGAACGGGCGTCGTGCTCGTCACTTGAAGTTGCTAAAATTCAAAGATCGGAAGCATTTTTAGCTCGTACGAACGCAGAGTTACCAAGAGAGTTACAAGACATCAAAACTGCGAAATTTGAAGAACAAACGTTCTGTTTGTCTCAAGATGTTAGCATGATTATAGAAACGTCGGCATTTAATGATATTAATTCAAATTTAGATATTACGCTAGAACCATCCGAAATTGTGATGTTTGAGACGTCAACCCCATTTGATGCTGCTTCAATTTATGCCGAAACTTTAATCGCTTTGCCGAGTGCTTCTACAGCAGATAATGAAGCTATCTCCGATCCAATGAATGCGTCATGCGTTGACCCATTAGGTAGTGAATTTGACGAAGCATCTAGCTCTAATATAACAGGATTAGAAAAGGCAAAGCTAAGGGATCCATATGAGAATATACAAATAGGCTCGTGGGTTGTTACGCCGTACCAATGTCAGTTAAAGAAGAATACTGCCATAAAGTATTTTATTGGAAAATTGATAAATAATCATCAATCATGATCACAACACTTTTACAGTAAAATCTCTCAGAAGGAAAAAAACACCGTAAATGTTTTTTCTTGGCCGAACAAAGATGATGAAGACTGTGTCACTAAAAATGTTATTGTTAAAGTATTAAAAGAACCCAATATAAATCGCAGAGATCAGCTTATATTTGATGATATCGATTTACTACCTGAGTAAAAATATACCTAAATGTTTGCTAATTTTGATTATTTTTTTACATTTTTTTACATTTCGAGTTTGTAGTTACAATAATATCTACTTAAAGTTTTTAATAATTTCACATATATTTTTTAGTTGTCATTTTTAATTAAGCTCATCAATCATTTGTTTTTATTTGCACCTAGTCAAGGACCTATTACACTAAAAGAATAGTTGATCTCAGTAAACATATAAAAGTTGAATAGAGGTTTAAGTTTCATTTTCCGTTTTTGTACGTATGTGATAAAAGGTAATAAATGTATCTAGTTTAAGTTATAATTATTACAGAACTGAGAAAGTTGTTTTGTAAGATTATATCTTTACCAAAGAAGTTTTTAATAAACATTTATTTCATTAACAATGTGTTTTATTTTAAATTTTTAGTATATGTTTCAAGGGGAAAAGAACAGTACGAAGTATCATTTATTATTGCCGTGTTCAAACGTCATTACCGTGTGCATGAAGTGTCATTACCGTGAACAATCGTCACTACCGTACACACACATAATGTCATCACCGTGACTCCTAAAACTTTAGGGGCCCATCGCTACTAATTGAGGCCCTAGGAGAGGGCCTTCATTTTTTTAATAATTCACACATTAGAAACTTTCAATTTAAACTAATTTTGCGGTTAAAAATACATTTGTATTTTATTTTCCACCAATCTGCCCAATTTACATCAAATGAAATAATTACCCATTTGTGGTTTAAAGTAATTAAACGCGATAAAATCCGTAAATAATAGTTTTATTCAATGTGTAGTGTTCTAGCAAATTTAAGAAATCATTATGTAAACCTTAGCCGGTTTAATAATATCCTTCAGACAGAATTTTAGCGACGGCGGCCAGTCTCAACGGAGATCAGCCGTCTACCTAGTACAGGATCACAGTTCACGAGTATGTGCGCAAGCAAGATACACTACCAATTTTTTAAAACCTTTATTACATATTTTTATACGCAATTTACATACATAAAATGTACATGCGCAAACATCTAGACCCAGAAAAATTATTTGTAGGCCGTACAAATACTTCTTCTGTGCGAGATTCAAACCCGCGACCCACAGCGCCGCAACTCAATGTTAAGCCACTGGCGTTACGTTGATCTGTACTGTTGCGCCACGATCGGAGACATCAGTACAATAGATTTGTGAAGCACCGCCAGCTTCCTGTCTCCAGGCTGCTACCGACAACAGAAAAACCCAAGAACTATACAAATAATAACTGATTTTTGCCCGACCCGAGATCCGCCAGAATTCGACCGGAATCACATCGAACTTGCAGATTTTTGTAATACCCATTTCTTCGCTTTCGCCACAGATTGTTTTTTATTAATTTGAGAATACCAGCGTGTGGTGTCAGCGTCGACGAGCTTGAGCTTTTTATAGAATAAGGAGACAAACGAACACAGTCCACCTGATGTTAAGTGGATGCTGAGGAACATAGACATCTACATTTATCTTCAATAAAAATCAAAATGCAGATGCGTTGCCAGTCCTGAGGATTGAGATGGAATATCTGGTATTCTGGTTCTCTACACTCACCATACGAAACGCAGCACCATTAAGCTGCTATTTTACGCTGGTATTCTGTGAGAGCGTGGTTCTAACCGAGTCGAGCCGACCCACTCGTGCTGTAACCACAATATAGCTGCAGCATGGCTCTATTACGTTGCTGGTAGGTTTTCCCGTCACGGTTCTTTAAACGATGTCATCCAAAGAGCTCTTGTCTCTATAAATGTTCCCTCCGTTTTAGAGCCTTGTGGAATATTTAGAGACGATAGCAAGAGACCCGACGGTATAACAAAGGTCCCTCGGGAGAGAAGTAAAGCCCTAGTGTGGGATGCTACTTTCGTAGACAATTGGCAGCTTCTCACCTCACGAGTACTTTATTTAGAACCGGAGCGGCATCAGAGGCAATTGAAATAAGTGGCGCAAATCTTATTATTAGTCTTAGTCTTATATCTTAGAAACAACTACATATTTTTCTGTAGAGACCATCGGTCCGTGGGGTCCACGTGCAGTGAAGTTCCTAAAGGAACGGTATCCGCGACTGGCCGTAAGTCGCACTGGTGATAAGAGGGCTGGCACGGAAGGTAGGACTGTATGATAATTTAAATTTTTAGTTTTTTTTATACATATATATAATAATACATAAACAATCACACCTGTCACCCAGAGGGGTAGGCAGAGACTACAGACTTCCATTTAGCACGATCCTGACAAACTTCTCTCGCCTCCTCCACATACATATATACCTACGCATACATGCTCGTCGGTTAAGGGTACTCTTAATTTGGCCCATTTTTAATATATCGCCAATTCGGTCGACAAACTTTTGCCTAGGACGTCCTTTTCCGACTCCTCCATTTACTTCTGCAACATATATTTCCTTTGTCAGTCTTTCCTCATTCATTCTTTCTACATGAATAAACCACCGAAGCATTCCTTTCTTAATCCTGGTCACCGCATCATTTTGTAAACCACACTGTTCTTTTATCACATAGTTTCTCACCCTGTCACTCAGATTCAACCTTAACATACTCTGTATTTTTAATACTGTAAATATTTAAATTATTGAAGCAAATAAAAATGGAATCCATTATTAAATAATTTGAGTTATAAACACAAAGATGCTGCTGCCAATTTCATGTTTCATTCCCATCTGTTGCCTCTTAAGACATACCATGGATTATAATTATGTAGTGGAATCTCTAACGTAGAGCCACTAACCAACTTTGTTGTATACGTAGGTAATTAAAATATTTAGATATGGCTATGGACATGTTGAAAATGATCCGATGGCCGCACGCGGCTCGCGGGCCGTATCTTTGACATGACTAGCCTACACTCACGTACTCACGCTTTGTTCGCTCTTCGGCCGAGCCGAGATCGTATTCTTTGTTTCAAAAAGCAAGTCATCACGGATCCATCTGTAACCAGTTGCTTAGATTTGAGATAGACCCATATGATGCGTTTATTTAAATACTAGCGATCACGCACGCGCTGCCTACCGGGTCTAATCGTGAACTAAATCATCCAGTTACCAACTTAAACGCACACAAAAAACTTCATCAAAATCGGTCGAGCCGTTTTCTCGAGTTTTAGCGAGACTAACAAACAGCAATTGATTTTTATATCATCATGATCATCATTACAGCTCTCTAGTCCACTGCTGAACATAGGCCTCCCCCAAGGTATGCCACAAAGCACGGTCCTGAGCCACCAGCATCCATCGACTTCCTGCATGTCTTACCAGGTCGTCACTCCATCTAATAGGGGTTATCTAGTTTTTATATATAAATATGTGAATTCATAACTAAGCAGCGCCAAAACGCCTGCCTAGCGTGACAACTGTAGCAAATATTTACTCTATAAGGCAATCTATGTGGGAGGTAGTCTACGTTTATCAGTTGACATTTGGTTTTTTAATAGATTGTAGTGAACGAATGAATTAAAAACTCATAATGATATAGTAATAACTAGTTGGTACCCGGCGCGCTGCTGCCACAGAAGAAAATATCGTTGAATGGAGAAATGTCGTTGTGGAAATATCGTTTTAAATTTGGAAGTTATATTCGCTTCATTAGAATTTGATAATACATTCATTGAAATTAAATGATATGTGACTTTCGAATATTGTCGGTACGATACGCGCGACACAATCATCATCATCATCTTTACAGCCTTTCACAAGTCCACTGCTGAACATAGGTCTCTCCCAAGTAATGCCACAAAGCACGGTCCTAAGCCACCTGCATCCATCGACTTCCTGCATGTCTTACCAGGTCGTCACTCCATCTAGTGGGGGGGGCGGGGGGTCGCCCTACACTACGCTTACCGGTACGAGGCTGCCACTCGAGAACCTTTTTCCCCCATCGGTTATCGGTTCTTCGAGCTATATGGCCGGTCCATTGCCACTTCAGCTTACTAATCCGTTGGGTTATGTCGGTTACTCTGGTTCGACTGCGGATATCCTCATTTCTGAGTTTATCACGCAGAGAACCCCGAGCATAGCCCTCTCCATAGCTCGCAGAGCGACCTTGAGCGTCCTCATACAGCCAACAGTGGAGGACCACGTCTCAGATCCGTAAGTCATCACTGGCAACACGCACTGGTTGTACACTAGTTTTCTGGTTTTGAGGTAGGTATATCTGACGAGAAGATCTGTCGTAATTTCCCGAACGCTGCCCAGCCGAGTTAAATCCGTCGATTAACCTCTCGGTCAAAGTTAGACTTACCTAGTTGCACTATTTGTCCCAGGTAAACGTATTCGTCAACAACTTCGAGCACAGTGCTCCCAACAACTACCGGCATAGGTGTGACATGGACATTAAACATGATCTTTGTTTTGTCCACGTTCATCTTAAAACCAATCCGCTTAGGTCCTCCAGCGATTCCGTCATAAGGACTCTATCGTCGGCAAATCGAAGGTGAGTGATGTACTTGCCATTGATGTTAATACCGTATCCTTTCCAGTCCAGTAGCTTGAAAACGTCTTCTAATGCAGCGGTGAAAAGTTGCGGGGATATAACGTCACTCTGTCTTACACTTCTCTGCAGTTGGATAGATTTCAAACTCTGGTTCTGTACTCGGATAGCCATTGTAGCCCTACTGTACAAACACTTCAGCACTTCGATATACCGACAGTCAACTTGGCACCGCTGAAGAGACTGTAGCACCGCCCAAATTTCGACGGAATCAAAGGCTTTCTCATAGTCCACATACGCCAGACAAAGTGGAAGATTGTACTCTTCGGTCTTCTGTATAATCTGCCGCAGGGTATGTATGTGGCCTA